GGATGCTTTTTGTGCACTAGAGCCACCACAGACAATAGAACACTCAATGCCACAAATGTTACCAAAACAGGAAAATAATCCACCATCTCCTCCTTTCTTGTTTCTCCCACTTTGCTTTTGAAGGGGAGCTACAATCATCTGTTGATTTCGTGGAAGGGTTTCGTTGGGCTTGTAACTTGACTTAGGGTTGAAGTTAGAGCTTGTTATATAGTCAGAACTTGGTTGATAACTCGAACCCACGTCTACAACCACTGGTAAATTGGCTTGCCACCTTTCTAACTTAGACCGAAGACCCTCGACACTTCGTTCACCAACACTTATCACAGTACTCTCTGCATCTCTCCCTGTAAATGCCTTCTCCTTTGCAATTTGTGCGGCCACCACTGAGGCTGAAGGACCTAAATCAGACTCTGTGATCACGACCGGTCTGGATCTCATTGGTGTTCCATATTCAACACGGTTCCTTTTAGGGGTATATGCTGTTGTGTTCCTTGGCCTCATCGGTGTCCCATAGACGATATGCTTCGTTTGCCTCAACATAGTATTTGGCGTTTTCCTCTGAGGCTCATACACAACCATCTGAGAGTCTGATGAAAACTCATCTTTCTCAAAACCTGAGTTTGTTGTAGAGCTCATACGGGTTTGTGTCACCTTCCTTGGTGAATCCACCATTGAGCTTGTATCACTTTTAGACCGTCGAAGCGTTACAGGTTTTGAAGATATGTTTTTCTTGTGAAACATCAAATCTTCTTCAAACAAAAGAGGCATACTTTGGCCCGAGTTATCGATGAGCCCCACCGCGATGTTTAGAAGGCCGTGAGGGCGTCCTGACGCACGAAGAACCTCTAGGGTAACGAATCTCATAGCGGAAGAAGGGGTGACAAGGTCGCTGATCAAGGCTTGTACGGTTCCAACATGAATGTCTTTGAACCAATGCAATGCATAGATCTCTATAACAACTATTGATCTTTCATCGTAGAGTGCTTCCTCATCTAGACGAAACACAAACTTGTCATTCCATGTAGGGCTGGTTCCGCCCGTATTGTCTACCCGAGTCGTCAGTTTACGCTCCGGGTCAATCCAAGCGATTGCATATGTCTTCATGCACCGTGCCACAGGCGCCAATTCTTGGGCCGAAATAATATTCAGCTCCAAAATTTGACAAGGTGCAAGAAAAGACATTTTTTCTTTTATTTTTTTTGAGAAAACTATAGCTGAAAAAGCAAAGGACACGGAAAGGAGGAAATTTGTACTCTTGGTGGATACAAAGACAGATCCGTCGTCGTCCTTGGAGGGGACGACGAAGGAAAGCAATGCATGAAGGGGAAAATGAAAAAGCAAATTGACGAGGAAACCCAAAAATAATAATAACCAGAAAAAAAAAGAT